GTGGTCGAAGACCTGAAGACGCCTCACATCATCTACCCGAAGAGGCCATGTCTCGCACCTATACAACAACACAGCCCTTACTGTGGCCTGGTACACACGACCCTTAAGATCCCGTGAGATGCCTTTTTGACGCCACAAGTGATGTAAATTAACAAACGTGATTCGAGCATTTGAGATTCTTGCACTGACTTCATCAGACACACTTCCGTCAAAGCTAATACAACTACCGAGGTACGTAAAGATAGTGAATAGATTACAAAGTTAGGTGCACCTTAGGAATATAAATACAGCTCAGCTGTAGCACCCTTTCGGTGCCTAGCTGTCATGCCAACCGAGGTAAGCACGAGGAATGGAATACTGCCAGGTTGCCAGGGTCGAAGCACACAAAAATGGGGAGACTCATCAGGGTAACCGTTACAGTTCTTTGTTGAAAACGCTAGTTTGGGAAGATCGGACGGAGAAATGAGCTAAGGTATTGCCGTTATTGCATCACGTCCACCCACGGTGTACGTACACAGTAGGATAAGAGCCTTTGTCATGATTCTAACGGCCATTCGATTGAAACACTTTGTCAGAACATTCTACCTAGATATGGCATCCATTCGCGACCCCAAATTAGTGTTGGTAACCGTAGCGATTTATGGAGTGTAATGGAATAAGTAAGTAAGTGAAGACAATCTGTGCTGAAAAGCTGCACAACTGTTTCCTCTTTATTGGGAATTGTTATATCTGTTATATATCCCATCCCCGTCGCCAATCTGTTATATCTGCTGATTCGCCGACCTGCGATATCTGCTACTAACCCGCTCCTGTGCCTAGTGCCGGAGAAAAAAGACTCACAGAAGGGAACACAACCGCTATATTCCGAACAAACGAGTGCGACAGCGTGAGTGCGTGCGAGTGCGAGAGCAGAAGCTACAACGACTATTTAAAGGGGGCTTTCTGACATTGATCCAGGCTGTCCGATAGGCGCTAATGAACACCCATCAACATCGATCGTGCCTCTATGAAATGCCTGAACGCAGATCACATTCGGTCTTAAGGATGCTGCAACTAGATGGTTATTCTATTTTTTATTTTCGTGGTGTGATGTTTCTGCATTTTAACGGACTTCTCGCCCGGTAATTGACCCCTCTTCGTCAGATGTGCGCTGTTAATGATTCCTATCAGGAAGGTCAGATTCCTGAAAGTAACATAACAGCGCACATCTGACGAAGAGGGGTCAATTACCGGGCGAGAAGTCCGTTAAAATGCAGAAACATCACATCACGAAAATAAAAAATAGAATAACTATCTAGTTGCAGCATCCTTAAGGTGTATAACTGCAAGGCCAACCGAAAGAAGAACGAGGAGTGAAATATTGCCAGGTTGCCCAAGTCTAAACAATAGCTCAGAGGAGGAGCCAAATGCGTCCGACGAAAGAAACTTAAACCTGAGAAATCAACACTCGAGGAGCCGTTCAACAAATGTGACGTGATGTGGATCACGTGATCTATCCAGTCTAAATGGGATTTAATCACACTGCCGACCACCTTTTCGTAGTTGGACGACTAAGTGTTCAAACTACAAACAGGGAGGTGACAGATCTGTGGATTTTTATGAGACGCGCACTGCTGATGACTTCCAAAAAGTACGAAACAGCTGTTCAATCACCCTCCGGTTTTCAACACTTACAGGACGGAATCCCCATTAAGCTTAAGTTAATCTGTGGTTTGAGGTTACCAATTGGTTGTTATGCAAACATCGGTATTTCACAAGAGGGCGGTTGGCGATAGTCCCACCGAATGTCTTCACTGGCTTCTCTCAACATCCAAGGGCTCACCATTATCCGAGAACACTGAGAAGTGAATAGCACGTAATAAGGCGAGTGTAATCCGTATCAACTCCCAAACAAAAACAGCTGGTACGAAGCACTTATGGTCATCAAATTTCCAGCCGAACAGAGAGAACAGAGCAATCATACAAAGTACTAACCTCACCAAAATAAGGAGCCTGGTGGACGACGCCAGTACCCACATCTTCTGTAACATAAGTGTCACAGAGCACTCGGAAAGCGTTTCGTTCCTGTTTCAGCTGTCAAGGGCAGAAACACAGACATCACACTAGACATAAATGCTACGCAGAGGGAACTGAAAGTGACGGTGTTGAACGCCGACTTACGTGAACAAAATAGTCGAAGATAGGCTTATACTTCAGTCCTTCAAGTTCTTTGCCAAGGAAGCTGAAATGTTACGGAATTTCATGAGCGCACCAAAACAAACTCCACATGAATCACATAAGCTGGTGATATACAGAGTATGAAAAAAAGTCCGCAAGAACAATGATCGGAAATGCAGTGCGAGGCGATCTATGATTCCCTTGACGCGGTCAAATCGTTCACATGTGGCGGAGAAAAACACGCTCTCTAGAGACTACCACTGGACTCTACCATTGAATAACTTCGAATGAGAAAAAGGATGTGCGGGATGATACAGAAAAAAATCCGTCTTTCAACTGTCTTCGCTAGAACGCTAAATGAATGAGATAAACACCAATGGCATACGAAATCAAGACCCAACCATCGGAGGCTTCCGGACAGGAAAC